ACTCTACCTTATATTTTACACAAAATAAGCATAATTTATTAATTTAAGATGTAAGTGACCCTGCAGAGATTTAAATGAGTTTCTATAAATATATTAATGACTAGAAAAAAACATACAGATGGTAGTCAACTGGCTTGCTCCCTCACTAGGCTAAATGACCCACCATCTTAACATTTTCTCAACAAAACAAAATTACTTCATGTAACAGATTTTCAGGTTGCTTCTAAATGACCAACATTACAAATGTTAAATATATTTAACATTTATAAATATCCCAGTATCTACTGTATTACATTTAAATTTTAGGAAAAAAAATAAAGGAGAAAGAAAGGATAGAGTTTTATGTGCATCATCACAGAAGTCCTCCCTATACTTTAAAATTAACTCACTGGCATTACAAACAGCCATTTAAAATCACAGTAACTCCTCATCTAAACACCTTTAGGCATACAGAATGATGACAGAAATCTAGCTGTGTGATATAACTGCCCTATACCCAACTGATCAACAGATACTGCTAGTTTTTGTTCAATGAGGCATCAACCACAGAACATTTTTTTTTTTTTTTTTTGAGACAGAGTCTCACTGTGTTGCCTGGGCTAGAGTGCCGTGGCGTCATCCTAGCTCACAGCAACCTCAGACTCCTGGGCTCAAGCAATCCTTCTGCCTCAGCCTCCCGAGTAGCTGGGACTACAGGCATGCGCCACCATGCCCGGCTAATTTTTTTCTATGTATTTTTAGTTGTCCAATTAATTTCTTTCTATTTTTAGTAGAGGCGGGGCCTCGCTCTTGCTCAGGCTGGTTTCGAACTCCTGAGCTCAAACAATCCACCCGCCTCGGCCTCCCAGAGAGCTAGGATTACAGGCGTGAGCCACCGCGCCCAGCCAACCACAGAACATTTGATTAAAAAAAAAAAAAAACAACTAATGAGGGCCAGGTACAGTGGCTCATGCCTGTAATCCCAGTACTTTGGGAGGCCGAGGCAGGAGGATTGCCTGAGGCCAGGAGTTCAAGACCAGTCTGGGCAACACATCAAGACTTTGTCTCTACAAAAAATAAAAAAAATTAGCCAGGCTTGGTGGAATGCACCTGTAGTCCCAGCTACTTGAGAGGCTGAGGCAGAAGGATTGCTTAAGTCCAGGAGTTTGAGGTTATAGTAAGCTATGATTCCAGCCAATCTGGGCAACAATGCCAGACCTTGTCTCCAAAAACCCCAAAAAACTGACAAAAAACCCACTACAACAAAATCCTCTTGAACTAGTATTAAAAGCTTAATAATACAAGAATTTAAAGAGTACTAACAGAAAGATCACTAGACTGAGATTCAAAAGACTAGTGCTATAAGTTTGATCTTAGGCAAGTCCGAATCTCTGGAAGACTCAGATTCCTTACATATCAAGTGGGATTATGATAATAACCATTTTATGGGATTATTATGAAGATTTAATTAAATCAGAGCCTTTATGTTTATGTGATTTATAAAACGTAAAATATCAATAAAGTAATTATAACAATGTCCCTTTCTAGGCCTCATCTAAAATGAACAGGTTTCATCAAATGACTTCCAGATCCCCTTATACTTCTAATATCACATTTATAAGCAACAGAATAATGTTACTACAGCAAATAAGACACAGGATACACTAAGCATTTTTCTAGTTAAACAGCTAAACAACTCTGTGAGTTATATGTGATAAACCAAAACTGAGAATAGTATGGAGAATCAAGACATTTTTGTTCTTAACAATTCTTAAAAATTATTTTATGTGATAAAGTAATCACTGTTAAGCAACATTAACAAAAACAACCCTTCAAACACTGTCAAAAAGTATAAAGTACAAAGTAAATCTCTCTCATCCTTATGCCTGACCCCAAAGAAATTCTATTTCCCAGAGATAACCGCTGTTAAGACTCTTGTGTATCTATCAAGACAGCTTCAGTATAGCAGTTATTAGCATGGACTGCAGAAGTTTAGAGCTAAAAATGATTGGCTCAATATAACTTTCAATTTTACAAATAAGTAACTCGAGACAAAGATAGGTTACTTTTTAAATGATACCAATATCTGGAAAGCATCTTACAATTCATAAAATGCTTTGACATAAATTATCTACATTAAGATTATTTACATGATTTGTCTCAAGGTTATACAACTTAACGATAAGACTGGAACTACAGTTAGGAAGTTGCCATCTTATCAAATGACATGCTAATACTATAAATTATATCTGTACGAAGCTTATGTATGTGGCTTTTAAATTCTCAAAGATATCCTACATCATATAGGGGATCAGAAAGTTTGATAATTCCTAACCTAGTAATTATTATATTTAAGTTATTGTTTTAAAAGGAGGAATCTTGGCAATAAAAGATTAATTTTTAAAGTTTGCATGTGTCTTGAGACTTCAAGCTTTTCAAAATTGTCACTTAGAGAACCACTTTTTTTTTAATTAAAAAAATTTTTTAGAGACAGAGTCTTGCTTTGTCACCCAGGTTGGAGTGCAGTGATGAGATCACAGCTCACTGAAGCCTCAAACACCTGGGCTCAAGTGATCCTCTTGGCTCAGCCTCCTGAGTAGCTGGGACTACAGGTATATACTGCCAAGCTCAGCTAATTTATTTTTATATTTTTATAGAGACAGGATCTCGATATGTTGCCCAGGCTGATCTTGAACTCCTGGCCTCAGATCATCCTGCCTCAGCCTCCCAAAGTGCTGATATTACAGGAGTAAGCCACCACGCCCAGCTGAGAACCACTTTTAAATTACAATACAAGTGATACACAATGATTACTGAACACACTTAGGGTTAAATTTTTAAAACACTACCAACAATTTCAAAGTGAGAAGTAACTTAAGAGACACCTAAGTAAGGAAAATTTCACATAGATACAAATGAACATAAAACTACAGAAGGAAATCAACTGAGTAATAAAGCACCTAAAAGATGCTGTAGCATTCTTTCTGGCATAAAGAAAATCCGTGCTGGTCACAAAATCTGCATTGCCAACAATGAAATATCTAGTATGACTGACGACAAAAATAAAGCCATCTTTTATTAGGACAATGTGTCAGACAAAAATTAAACAGAAAGGCAATAAATTTCAAAATAATTCTGCTGTAATGGGATTAAAAGAAAAAGTAGGTTTCAGAATAGAGATATTCACTCAAATTATGGAATATAGTTGTAAAAGGACAAAATTTAAACTAGATTTACAAGGAAGAATTTTACTTATGCTGAATTTTTAGGGAGGTATGTATTCCTAAATTTACTAAATGCAATTATCAATATTCAGTCAAAATACATGTAACTCAGATAACCAAAATGATGTCCATGAAAAAAAAAAAATATAAAAATTCAACCAGAATTTAAAAATCAGGATAAAAGTAATTGTGTATAATAAACTCTAGCTATCAAATTTTAACACAATTTCCTTTAATTTTACCATATAATAAACATTTCAAAACCATGAAAATATAATACAGCTTTAAATTGGCTTTTATTATTAAGAAAAGGTTAACTGCAATTTTTGCTCTTCAAGACTAAACTTGCCAATAAAATAGAAAAACCAATCACTTTCCAATGGGACTTTAGGAAAAAAAAATGGAAAAACCAAGAGGCTAACCCATATACTACCATCCTTCCAATTAAAAACAAACAAATAACAAACCCCAACTATTTTCCAAATATAGAGAAATCTTCAAATTATTAATGAGAAAGAAAAAAATTCTCTGAGAAAATAATGCTCCATATCAAGCTATTGGTTCTATATGCAAATGAATTAATCATCTTTACTGGTTAAATAGCTTCTGTTTTGTTAAGATGAAGATATGTAAACATTCTAATCTTTATTTGGTTCTTTAATCAATGTTTGCTTTTTAGTCATGTTCAAGCCTCTTTCATTACACGAAATAACGGAAACATTTATTTTATATTTGTGTCAGATAATTCCAATGTAAAGTATTTTTTGCCTGATTTTCTTCATGGTTTCTTGTTTTGAGTTGAGTGATTTTTTACTATGAGCTCACTTTTCTTAAAATTTTATTTGTGGAAAATTCTTTAAGGCAAGTTCCTTCAGAGGAGATGGAGATTTAGATTTGACTTTATTAGGTGCTTTGGGATACTTCACTGCAGAACACTTAAAATCAAAATCTCAAACTTGTTTATTTTTATGATTGAAATTGCACGAATTCTGGGTGAAAACCTAAGGGAAAGCTAGGTCATGGTTATAAACTTTCATGGGAGATGGATTTTTGCTCCCTTTAATCAATGACAGATTCTAAGACAGGCTATTTTCCTTATAATCCTCCAGCCCATGAATGGAACTCGTGTGGGTTTATTTCTAGTTTATCCTTGTGCTGAGAACAGCTCCTCAGTATTCCAATTTAATCAAGGAGATGTGGCCACCTGTTAGACATTCTACCTTGGAAGGGCCTTGCACTTTGTCTAGATCAGAAAAGATCCTCAAGGTGAAGCAAACTTCAGTGCTCTTTTTTACTTTCTTGATCCTATTTTCACTTAATCCCAGCCATATTTTGATTTCTGTTTTGCATGGTCATGGATTATAAATTTTTAAAACAAAATTTTATCCAACATTTTAAGTTGTTTTTAACTTGATGAGGGTTGTGTTCACTTTGCGCCCCTAAGTGCCATACTGCCAAAATCAAAAGCTACATTCTACTATCTTTCAATATTATTCTTTTTTATAGCATGTCACCTATCACAGCTTTTGTGTCTATTGTAGTTATTTCTTACAAGAATATTAACTCTCTACGTATACAACTATGATTCTAGTGCTTGAAGATTTTGGCTATCTTCCAAAAGAGGTAAATACATACTTACTTATAAGATAAAGCTTATGATCAAGAACTGATTACAATTATCATATATTTTATTAAAGATTACAATAACTTATAATAACTGATAATATTATTAAATAAAGAGTTAAGCAAGGTTATTATTTTAGTAATAACCCTCTGCCTACAGAAACTCTTACTTACTTTGGAAGGAGAACCATCAGTAATTTTCACCAACTGCCAAAGAATCGAGTAATGGGAACACTGCAGTGCCTGTACGACTATCTGTATCAAATGAGAAAAAATTTTTTTAATGAAAAAATTCAAAGAAATGAGAATTTATGTTTGCACAGTACTAAGAGAATATTTATAATAGTTTTTATTTTATGATAAAGTTTCAAGTCCAAATTTTTGTAGAATTAATGAGAATGTATAAAATATTTGGTTAAAAAAGACAAACCAACGTATTAATCTAGAGAATAAAGACAGAACATATCCTGATAAATATGGACCCAAACAGCACTATGCTTTAAACAGAAATGTAGTGTTATGAATATTTTGCTTGGTCAAAATTTTAAAAGGAGATGAAGTTATTTTATCCAAATTTTGTAACTGAAATAGCTGAAACTGAAAAATTGATCAAAATTTTATAACAAAATGCCCTACTTATTTAAAGCACTTCAATGTGAAATATCATACTCATACCAAAAGTGCCTAAATAAATATAAAACTTAATGAATTAATATAAAGCAAAAATGCCTGTGTAACCACCACCCAGGTCAAGAAACAGAACATTGCCATCATCTCCTCCCAATACAATCATCTCTTTCCTCTCCTAAGTTCAACAGTTATTTTGGCTTATTTGGTAATCAGCATATTTTAACTACCAAAGTGTGCACTCCTAAAGTTTATTATGCCTAGTTGTGAACAATATATAAATGGAATCATGCCATATGTATAATTTTGAGTCTGATTTCTTTCATGTAACATTTATGTTTAAGATTTATACATGTTGCATGTACCTCTAGTTCATTAATCTTTAGTCCCGTGTAATATTTAGAATATTCCCCTATTTACTCATTCTGTTGCTGATAAGCTTTTACCTGGCTTTGACTTTTAGCCATTATGGATAATGCTGCTGCGAAAATTCTTATATATGTTTCTTGGTGCATTGGGCATGCATTTCTCTGGGGCAGAGATTTTCAGAGTTTTTAGTTCTCAGGACCTCTTTACACTCCTAAAAATTACTAAGGACCTCAAAAAGCTTTTGCTTTATGGGTTATATCTATCAATACTACCATATTAGAAATTAAAACTAAGAAATGTTTATATTTATTAATTCACTTAAAAATAATTTTATTACTTCACAAAAAAGAACTAAATTTTCTAAAACAAAAATAGTATTTAGAGTTACACTGTTTTATATTTTTGCAAATCTCTTTAATATCTTCCTTAACAGAAAACTAGATTTTCCTATCTGTTCTGCATTCTCTCTGTTACAATATATTGTTTTGATTGAAATATATGAAGAAAACCCAGTATCATAAAATAATTAGAAAAAGAAGGTATACTGTAATAGCCTGTGTAGATAAATGTGGATATTCTTTGCTGTGACCCCAATATTCCACTGTACATTTGTGAAAGAATGAGAATGAAAAAAGAAAATAACATCTTCATCTTACTATGAAAATAGTTTTTTTGTTTTTTTAATTTCCCAAAGGTCAAGAGCTATCAGATAAAAATAGTTTTGACTTCATAGATCTCTGCTATGAACCCCACTTTCAGGACCACTACTCTAAGAACAGGATTGCTGGATCATATAGAATGTGCATGTTTAACATTATTAGATATCACCAAACTGTTATCCAAATTGGTTGTGTCTTATAGTCATGGACAGTTCCCAAGGCTCCACATTTTTACCAACACTTGATATTAGATTTCTTAAATTTGGCAATTCTATTATATATAAGTAGTATCTTAGTAGTTTTGATTTACATTTCTCTAATTCCAATGAGGATAGGCAGTTTTCATTTTTTATTGGCATTTGAATTCTGGTTTTGTGAAACATCTATGCGAGTCTTTCATCCCTGTTTTCCAGAGACAACAGAATTCAGGAAAATAAAACTAATTAAGGAGGATAACATAAGAGAGAATTCCATTTTGGATGGGTCTTTTACTATATCTTTGAATACAAGATGTACTTTTATTGCAATAAAGTATATCTGATAATATGATATTCCATTATTTTATTTGCTAAATTTATCTAGTGTTTCTATTATCTTCTCCACTCAATAAACTAAAAACCATAAAGGTGAACATATGTAGAGAATAAGTTAAAGGGGAAATCAATAAGTGGAATGCTGCAGGAACTTTAAAATTTAGGTTTCAGATCACTAAAGCAAAAGATATTTCCAACACGTCTACTCAGCACTGGAAATAACTCTTATGAATTAGAAGAATAAGTGTCGCTTCTTTTGATGCAACATTAATGAGATAATGTCAGGGTTTTATTAAACATAATAATTGAATGATTGATCCATGTCAGAATGCACAAACAAGACTACAGAAACAGTAACAAGTTAAACATTAGTGCTACAGAAATAACCCTAGTATACTTAGAAGATGCTCAATGACAGTACACCTAATGATCCTGAGATACCTTCGCTAAGTTCTTATTTATAATATGAAATACAGTGGTAACATGGTTTGTGTGGAAAGAAAGGAGTAAAAAAAATTCTCTTGAATTTGAAACAACTTGTTTTGTTCAATTAATAGAAAAGTGATATACAAATTAATAATAATGGGAACTTAAGATCTGGAAAAAGTAATGTTGAAGAAATGCTTAATTTTGGTAATATCAATTTATCAAAATCATTACAAATACCATATCCTTTTCTTCTACTTTTCTAATGATCTGTACTAGACATTTTCCAACTGTTTTATAGAAGTTTCTTGTTAGTGATTATGAGGGAGGAGAGACACTTGGTCACTTCAATACCTGTTTCAAATACAGAATTCCCATTTTAATCTGTTTCACATATTGGTATTTCTTGTAAATTTACTTTTAAAAGGGCTCCACTGCCTTACCTTAAAATAAAAATCTTGCTCTCATTGACTGAGAAGCATTTTGCTTAGGCATAATTACATAACAACATAGCTAGCTGATCAAATGTCAAATGAAAATTCGTAACTTTTCCTTCCAAGCTTCACCAGTCATTCTGATTATTTTGTCCTCCACACTAGCAATGTTATCCTAACTTGTCCAGAAGTCATTTATTCATTTTATTCAGTTACTTCATCTTTCTAAAGTATAGAAGAAACAAGAAGGACAATCAATAATAAAACTGAAAAGCCAAAGGAGATTGCTCTAACTTTTGAGCCCCACAATCCTTTTGTCTCCTGATTAACACTGCTATGATGACTAAGAATTTCTTCCAACCCTACTCCCTCTGTCCTCATGTTTCCAGGAACATTGTTCCTGGGAGGAAACACTAATGTGTGTTGCAGATTTCTGGGCAAATTAAGAAACAGGAGTGCATTTTGTATCTGCCAGCAGAATACCAATGTCCCAGGAAATCTTGGCCCCCTGAATGACTAGGGACAACAGTGACAACTGACTTCCCCTAATGGTACCTTATGGTTATGAGGGTAAGAAGTAAATTTCTGTTTTGTTAAGCCACTGAGATTTTTATATTAATCTATTAAAGCAGCTAGCACTACTTTAAACAACATAAATTGCTATTACCCCCTTTCCCAAATAATTACTTTTATCTCTTTAAAGGATTTTTATCTCTGACTAGCAGATAATCAGTAAGGAATCATTTAGCTTATGGCTAATGACAGATACTACATATCCTGAAGATGAGTTACATTATTAATGTAAAGCTTCTACAATATTTAAATTTTAGAAAAACTGAATTTACATGGAAAATAAAGTCTGAATTAAGACTAGAGAATAGTAAGGAAAACTGATTACATATATGTAATATATATGCATTTGTATTATCTACACATACAGGACATATTTAAAATTTTGAAAATCCACATAATGACAGTGGGCTCTTTTACTTTTTTGTTGGCAAAAAACCTTCAGGGTAAAAAGGATCAAACTTTTTAGTGGACACATGCATGATAAAAGAGTGAACTAAACTTAAATGCTTCTGATATCCAATATTGGTCTATCATTTTTAGACTGGGTTAATATAAGTGACAATTAACATCCTCTTCAAAAAGAGACTTTAGAAGAATTGAGTTTGTGGCATTAAAAAAAACAAACAAACAGACAAACAAAAAAAACAACTCGGTTTGTAGCATTAAAAAAAAGAGACTTCAGATGCAAACTAACAATCAATATGGCTTCACCAAAGAGAATATAAAGCTGCCAAATAAGCACATGTAAAAATGTTCAACATGATTAGGAAAACATATGTCAAAAGCACAATGATGTACTACTACATACCTACTAGAACGGCTAAAGTAAAAATTACTAACATTATCAAGTGCCAGTGAGGATGCAGAACAACTGAAACTCTCATACATTGCTGGCAGGAATGCAGAATGGTATAGCCACTTTGGAAAATTGTTTGGCAGTCTCATAAAATTAAACATACACTTACCATAACACTTAGCAATTGTACTTCTGGACATTTACTTTACAAAAATGAAAATTTATGTTCAAGCAAAAATCTGTATACCAATGTTCATGACAGCCTTAGTTATGATGGCCAAAAGTTGGAAACAATTCACATGGCCTTCAATGGCTGGATGGATGAAACAAACTGTGATATATCTGCACAGTGGATTATTACTCAGCAGTAAAATGGAACCAACTATTGATCTACTGATTTATATAGCAACTTGAATTTCAAAGACATTATTTTCAGGGAAGACATTATGCTAGATGAAGACATTATACTCTAAAGGGTTACACACTGCATGATTCCATTTATTTGGAAATTCCCAAAAGACAAAACTATAGTAATGAAAAATACATCACAGGTGTCCAGGAGTTGCAGGTGGTGTGAGCATATGACTATAAAGGGATAGTATGAAGAAGTTTTCCGGGACAGTGAAACTATTCTGTATCCTGATTGTGGCGGTGACTACAAAAATCTATACACATATTAAAATTCATAAGACTATATGTAAGAAGGAAAATAAGTCAATTTTACTATATAATTAAAAAAATAATAATCAGTATGGCAAAGAGTAGCTTGTAGTAACATATTTTTCTTTTCTTTTTTTTTTTTTTGAGACAGAGTCTCACTGTGTTGCCCGGGCTAGAG